GAGAGAGAGAGAGAGAGACTTTTGGCTTCATGCAAGGAAAACAGCAGAAGCAGCAGAAGTCTTTCTTTCTCTTCCCCAAACTCTGCCAGAAATGAGTCTTTGTCGGCGCAGCCTCTTGGAGAAGGAGGCCTTGCAGGGTCCCAAAGACTCATTTCTGGCAGAGTTTGGGGGAGAGAAAGAAAGATCTTTGGTGCTTTCCTTGTGTGCAGCCAAAAGCAGAAGAAGAAAGAAGTAGAAAGAAGCAGCTCAATGGCCAGGCCAGGTGCGTGGGGTGAGTGGGGCAAGTCCTCCCCTCCACCGTTCTCCCCTCCCCTCACTCCCTCATGTTGCTCGCAATGCAGGCGACACAAGCTTTGTGTTCCCACGGGCCATGAGGGTGGCGCAGCCTTCTGTTCCCGCACAGCCTGGATTAATTGCTTTGGGGGTGACATTTCTCTGTGGACCACCAACATTTTCTCACGGACCACCAGTGGTCCCCAGCCCACAGGTTGGTGACCACTGTTCTAGAAGACCTCCAAGGTCCCTTCCAACTCTGTTATTCTATTTTATTTAAAATAAATCACTATTAAGTTAGCCAAAAGATTGTTAAGTCAATCTGGCTTCACCACCATGGGCTTTGCTTGACGGAAGGTAGCAGAAAGGGATTGCGTGATCCCAGGGACGTTGCTATCATCATTAATACAAGTCATTTGCCAAGAGTCTGAATTTTGATCATGGCGTTGCCACAATGGTCGTAAGTGTGGAAAATGGTCATAAGTCACATTTTTCAGTGCTGTTGTAACTTGGAACAGTCGCTAAATGAACTAGGTCAAGGACAAAATTCCATGCAGTTTCTCTGGCATTTGAGGTAATGTGTGTATTATTATTATTATTGTTCTTGGTTAATCTTTAGTGAGATTCACAGCCTTTGGGGCTGGTTGGTAGGTCAACAACTCGAGTCCTAACCAAGGACCTAGGAACTGTTCAGGTAGCGTCGGAGGATATAAGCTGTTCCAAGTAGGGTGGTTTTTTTTGTAGAATCAGGGTATTCAAGTCTGAGAAATTCAGAATTTCCAAATAGCGAGGTAGCCCTTTAGGTATTGCTCCAATTAGAGCTCCAATTAGAATTGGGATAACACACGATTTCTTTTTCCAAAGTCGCTCAACTTCAATTTGTAAGTCCCGATACTTGGTGATTTTTTTCTTGTTGCGTGTCTACAATTCGTGCATCACCAAGTATTGCAATGTCAAGGAACCAACCCTTTTTCTTTTCAACTATTGTTATGTCAGGTGTGTTGTGGGCCAAATGCCTGTCCGTCTGAATTCTGAAGTCCCACAAGATCTTGACTATTTCATTCTCCAGAACCTTCTCAACCTGATGTTCCCAGTAGTTGTTACTGTACTCAAATCCAAACTTTTGGCACAGTGCTCAGTGAATGATTTTAGCAACTCGGTTATGGCGTTCTAAGTAGTCAGTTTGTGAAATTTTGCTGCATCCACTGATTAAATGTTCAATTGTTTCACCTTTCTCATTACAGAGGCATTATTCTTATTATTGCCAAGAAAATGGCATGTCACCAGGACATGAGCTGGTCTTAAAAAAAAAAAGGTTTTAACTTCTTTTCAGCAATCTTTCTTCCTGTCATATCCCTGCTCCCCTGGCGCTAATTATTCTTGTTTCAGCTCCAATTTCATTTCCTCAAGTGTAAATTGGGAATAATTACTTTCAGGGGAAGGCTAGGCCCAAAGACTGTTAATCCATTTTTACAACAAGGTCTGGTTCTCCCATCACACTAGGTTTCGATGATCCTGATGATGGCCAGTTTTGTTACTGTGTTTGATGGTTAGATGGTGAACCTCCTTAGGTATCTACTCTAATTGTGATTCTGTGGCACCATACTGATCATATCATGGCTTCGCCATAATTTAATATTTTATCTTAGGTGTTGGATAGAATCAAGACCATGGAAAGTGTTGATACTGCTTTATAAGGCCTTGGTAAAGCCACGCTTGGAATATTTGCATTCAGTTTTGGTCACCATGATGTAAAAAAAAAAGATGTTGGGACTCTAGAAAGAGTGCAGAGAAGAGCAACGAAGAGGATTAGGGGACTGGTGGCAGGACAAGAAGCAACGGATGGAAAATAATCAAGGAGAGAAGCAACCTAGATCTAAGGAGGAATGTCCTGACAGTGAGAACAATTAACCAGTGGAACATCTTGCCTCCAGAAGTTGTGAATTCTCCAACACTGGAGGTTTTCAAGAAGAGATTGGACAGCCATTTGTCTGAAATAGGGCTTCCTACCTAAGCAGGGGGTTGGACTAGAAGACCTCCAAGGTCCCTTCGAACTCTGTTATTCTATTCTATTCCATTCCATTCCATTCTATTCTATATTTTATTTTCTCTTCTCTTCTCTTCTCTTCTCTTCTCTTCTCTTCTCTATTCTATTCTATTCTATTCTATTCTATTTCTATTTCTATTTCTATCCCATCCCACCTCATTCCATTCCATTCCATCCCATCCCATCCTATTTCTATTCTATTCTATTCTAATTTTATTTTCTATTCTATTCTCTCTTCTCTTCTCTTCTCTTCTCTTCTCTTCTCTTCTCTTCTCTTC